AGTGAACGATTCTCCCTCAAATATTTGAAAATGGACAAAAAGGGGAATGTTGCAAGCCCAGGTTGTATGCTACATTCTGAGAACTTTAGAATAATTGTATGCTGTCACAAATAGCATCTGATGATCAGAGCTGACAAGGATGAAGGGCAATCCATTATAGCTAGTCCTCGGCTTACGACCACAATTGAGACCAGCATTTCTGTTGCTGAGCAAGACAGTTGTTAAGTGAGTCACACCTGATTTTATGACCTTTATCCCCCACAGTTGTTAAATGCATCATTACTAATAAGTAAATCATACAATCATGCTTCCCCATTGGCTTTGCTTGTCAGAAGGTTACAGGGTCACAAATGGTTATCACATGACCCTAGGCCAGTGTTTTTCAACCTTTTTTGTGCAAAGGCACACTTTTTTCATGAAAAAAATCACGAGGCACACCACCATTAGAAAATGTTAAAAAAATTTAACTCTGTGCCTATATTGACTATATATAAAGTAATTCTCCCACGGCACACCTTACACTATGTCACGGCACACTAGTATGCCGCGGCACAGTGGTTGAAAAACACTGCTCTACTCTACTCAACTTACTATTTTGCCCGTTAAGGGCTTACATCAGCCTTTCCTACGTTCTTAAAAATAATAAATCAATAAGGTAAAGGTTCCCCTTGCACATATGTGCTAGTTGTTCCCAACTCTAGGGGGCGGTGCTCATCACCATTTCAAAGCCCAAGAGCGAGCGCTGTCCAAAGAAATCTCCCTGGTCATGTGGCCAGCATGACTAAATGACAAAGGTGCACGGAGCACTATTACCTTTCCACTAAAGGTAGTTCCTCTTTTTCTACTTGCATTTTTACCTGCTTTCGAATTGCTAGGTTGGCAGAAGCTGGGACAAGTCACGGGAGCTCACTCCATTATGTGACGCTAGGGATTTGAACCGCTGAACTGCCGACCTTTCTGATCGACAAGTTCAGCTGAGTCACTGCGTCCGTAGTAATATGCATCTGAATATAGGTAGTCCTTAACTTGCAACATTAATTTAGTGACCATTTGAAGTTACAACAGCACTGAAAAAAGCGATTTATGTCCATTTTTCATGCTTACGACCGATACAGCATCCCCCTGGTCACGTGATTTACATTCGGATGCTTGACAACTGCTTCATGTGACAGTTGTGATGTCCCGGGTCATGTGGTCACCTTTTGCGACCTTCCGACAAGCAAAGTCAATGGGGAAGCCAGATTCACTTAACAACCGTGTTACTAACTTAACAACTGCAATGATTCACTTAACAAACGCGGCAAAAAAAGTTGTAAAATGGGACAAAATTCACTTCACAAATTTCTGACTTAGCAACAGAAAATTTGGGCTCTGTTGTGGTTGTAAGTCGAGGACTATCTGTAAGCAGCCTATTCAACACAGTCCATTCAAAAAGCTAATTTTTACTTCCACTATCCTTTATAAAACTGAACTGCTAGATGTCCATTGCATCAAGACGCCTTGTTCTGAATTGGATCCAAGGCCCTAAAGCACTAATGCTAACGTAGCTGAGAGGCAGAGAGGTGGTGATCAATAAATTCTTATGTAGTCCAGTTCCGTGCATGCATACTTCTCATCGTGAATAATACTAATTTTTGCTTAGGTGAGCATGACAATTGTACTTTTTCTGTAATTCATTACCATTTTCATGGCTTCCTCCTTTATTTAAAGAGGGATGAGGAAATCTATGGTCTGACTGGAACAACAAAGGCATTGCAACCTCTGGTAGATCTACTTCATCCTATGTTGGAGGATTAGTTTCCACACACAGCCAGGCTACCTGTATGTTATTGAGAAACACTGGCTTTTTGCTTGTGAAAGAGCTTTTGCCAAGCCCAAGGAAGGAAAAATCATCAGTAAGTAAACTCTCTCTGTTTGTGTGTGTGTGTGTGTGTGTGTGTCAGAGATGGGTTGCTACCGGTTCGCACTGGTTCAGGCAAACTGGTAGTGGTATTTAGGCCTAGATCGCAGAACCGGCAGCGACCCAGGTTTGCTATGCACCCGAACTGGTTTCCCCAGTCGCCGGGGAATGTTTTTTAGCAATTTTTTAGCAATTTACAATCGAATGCACATGTGTGAGTAGTGCACGTGCAAAACGCACATGAAGTGAACCGGCAGCAGCAACCCACCCCTGGGGTGTCCCCCAAGTGAGCTTTTAAGGACCCTTTGTTAGAAAGGGGTAAACTCAGTGGTGAAATTCAATTTTTTTACTACCAGTTCTGTGCGCATGGTTTGGTGGCTGCAGCAGGGGAAGGATACTGCAAAATCCCACTCCCTCCCACTCTGGGGCCAGCCAGAGGTGGCATTTGCCGGTTCTCCGAACTACTCAAAATTTCCTCTATCGGTTCTCCAGAACCTGTCAGAACCTTCTGAATTTCACCCCTGGTCAAACTATTATTGTGCAAATTATTATTGTGGGCTGGAAAATCTCTTGGAGAACTTCTCAAACCCTTAAATTAAGATTTGAATCTCTAAAACATAAGTTCCTTCGGTGTCAAGCCGAGAACCTGTTTTTGAAAACAGGTCTCTCGGACTTTTCCAGTTGTTTCCTATACTTAAGAAAATTTAGATTTTTAAAAAAATTGTTTGCATTTGTGTCCATGTTTTTTAGGTGTGCCCCCGTAGCAATGAAAGTGGTTGTGCAGAGTTTCGGAGGTTGGCTGATCCTTTTTTTCAGTTGTGTTTCCTTTTGTGTAACCTTCCAATTGCATGATCGGGAGATGCTACTTGAGATGGAGAAAATCCGGCGTACAGGTGGAAACCTTACCCTACGACCAGAGGAAGAGGAATTCAACAGCAAGCTCATGAAACTGAAAGAAGCAGAAATTGCGACAGCTATGGAAACTGGGTTATTTCCACCGGCTATGCATTTCTTCAAGGCCAAAGAATTAATTGAAAAAAGTGCTGTGTTCGACATCTTGAAAAAAATGCCCAAAGGTAAAACATTCCTGATTTCTTCAGCATCTCCATGAATTTCATACTAAGTAGGCAGATAATTTGGTTGGTTATATTGTTGAGCGTGGACTAAAATAAACTCTACGAAGTAAAGGAATGGCGACTATTATAAATGATCTGCTTCTTTCCAACTTTAAAGCTTTTGTTTTTTAGAAGAAGTCTTAAAATTAGTTGCAGACGGGTTTTTTATTTACAATTATAGGTAAAATTATTTTCCCAGCTTGTTTGAGTATTCCAGTTAAGGTACAAACCACGGACTCAAATGCTGAATGTTTTCTTTCAATATTTACATGTTGTTAATTTATTACGCAAAACAAAAAATGGAGAACTAATCTACTTCTCTGTGCCTAACCTCCAGCCCAATGTAGTGATCTACTATTACAGCATCTCAATAGATACTATCCATCCCCTTTTGTCAATTCCCAAAGCATTCAATTCCATTAAAAAAATTTACCCTGAAAAAAATATCCTGGCTTGAGTTACCAGAACTTGTGATGGTAGTTTTTAAAAAAGTGGTTTTCTTGCATTCTTGTCTCAGATTTGGAACATGATTGCCTTTGTATACATTTTATCCAAGCCTTTCATAAAATCTGTTTTCAGTAAACTTGTAGTGAGATCACAACATATAAAGAAACAAATCAAGAAAATAAAGTCTTAAGAGACAATAGCAATAGCAATAGCACTTAGACTTATATAATGATTCGCAGTGCTTTTACAGCCCTCTCTAAGCAGTTTAAATATTGCCCCCAACCAGTGAAGTGCGGTGAGGTTTAAGGCTGGTGAGGCACTGACATCACAATCTTTTTATTAAAATGCCTTTGTAATACAGGGGGTTTTAATAAAAGGATCCGCACCATTTTTTCCCATCCTTGCGCGTTTCGAAGGAGTGGCGGGCAAGAACATATCGCCAAGGACTATATGCGGTGACCACCAGTGGCCAACAACAACAACAAAAAAGATTTGGGGAGGGGAGCAAGAAGACGAGGAGTTTCTTGTTGTGTTTTCCACAAGGGACGATAGTCCCTCCGAGTGTGGGAGGAGAGAGAGAGATGATGATAATGATGATATTTAAGTATCAAAGGCCTTTTGAGTTTGACAATATAATACGTTATCCAAAATTATAAATAATCTCATTTTCAGATGCATTTTTTGCCATCTCTGTTATTTTCTTTTTAAAAAATCAGGCTTGCTTCCAATTTATGCCTTCTGGCAAACTATAGTTTTCTTGGCAAGAGATCTAGCTTGCCATTGCTTTTGTCATAGGTCTGAGAAAGTTTCTTTCTTTCTTTTCTTTCTTTCTTTCTTTCTTTCTTTCTTTCCTCCCTCTTCCTTTCTTTCCCCCTGAGTTGTTTCCCTCTCTTTTCTCTCTCTCTCATTCTCTCCCTTCAGCTCTCTTTCATTTCTCTCTCCCTCTCCCCCTTCTCTCTCTAATTTGTTTCCCTCTCTTTCCCTCTCTCCCATTCTCTCCTTCCAGCTCTCTTTCATTGCTCCCCCCCTCTCTCTTTCTCCCCTTTTCTTTTCATCTCTTCCTTGTGCATGCAAGCAAAATACTTTTGTGGGCCAGGATCATGGCGGCGGGGACAGCAACTCCTTCTGCTGCCGCCACTGAGAAGTGAATACCTGGCTCCGCTGCGGAGAAGAGTCACTCTGTGCAGGAGACTCCTTAGCACTAGACTCAGGTCAGTGCGAGCCACGGTCCCATTCACCTCCTTCCTGAGCCAACACTAAAGAGTCTCCTGCACAGCATGGCTCTTCTCCGCAGCGCAGCCAGGTACTCACTTCTCAGTGGTGGCAGCAGAAGGAGTCGCTGACCCCGCCACCGTGATCCCGGCCCTGAAAAGTATTTTGTTTGCACGCACAAGGAAAAGATGAAAAGAAAAGGGGAGAAAGAGAGAGGGGGGGAGCAATGAAAGAGAGCTGGAAGGAGAGAATGGGAGAGAGGGAAAAGAGGGAAACAAATTAGAGAGAGAAGGGGGAG